CCTCCTCCTCCCCCTCCCCCTGGATAGACTCAGCATCTCTTCCAACCTCCCCCCTCCGCTATCGTGCGCGCCTGCTGCCGAGTAGGCTCGAGCGCGTGGCTGCCCACCGGCGCTCACAGCAGCCACGCGGGCCGCGAGTCGAGCCCCCTTCGGTGAAAAACGAACGCTGTTCCGCCCCCTTTCACCGCTCCCTAGACCCTCCACGTCACCGCTCACGATCCGGGCTGCCCCGCCAAAGGTGTGCACGCGGACTCTTGGTACTGCCTCTCAGTCAGTTGGTGGCTCTGGCACTGCTTCGATGGCAACAGTTCTCTTCTGGTTGTGCAGTCCATTCCATATTTCTTCCATAATCAGTTCCAGTTCTTCGACAGCTTGATGGAGCGGTTGCTGTTGATTGAAGAGATCTACAGCACGATAGGCACCCTGGTCTTCGGCGACGACAAGTTTCGTATTTGGACGGCATGGAGCGGCCACCTTTATCGTCGCCTTCGGTCGGATCGTCAACAATCCTTGGAGCTGTGGTGGTTCTTTTTGACGCGTATTCCTTCGACACCAACGCCCGAGAGCGTCGCGATGAGCTGGGATCCTCATCTTCCTCTGCCGCACGCGCCACTCTCGCCACGGAGGCGCGAGCAGTCGTCTCCAGGTTCCCCACTCAGCGACGTCCTGGCCGAGCTCACCCGTCAAGACGACTGTTGGAGTTGCTAGCCTCTACTGGACGGACATCCGTGGTCTTCCTGCTGGTTTTCCTCCTGTGCTAGGGCCCCGCTCTCGCCGCTGATGCAAGCCGTCACCCAATGCGATTCGAGTTTCCTCGTCCAACCCACTGCGTTCGAGGCGCGGCCACGGCGGAGCGCTTCATCGAGCACTCCCTTTCACCTTCAACTACGACTACTCCTGCGCAGCGGTTTCAGGCGATGGTTGACTTCATTAGGGCTCAGCTTCATACGACCACATCGCTTTCTACGCTCGCTTACTTGTTGAATTACCTTGGTGGTTTCCTCTTCAGATCAAACCTGGCACCTCCACTACGCGGGCAGTACCTCTTCTCGGCGATTGCGAATGTCCTGATGGTTTCGGCTATTGTTAGAATCCGACGAGCTCTTTATCGTCACCCTGTGCCCTCATGGCTATCCCAAGTTCTACGGCTTCTCTCAGGTGCTTGGCCCCACCACTGCACGCATCCGACTTCTACGTGGCAAATTGTGGACTGGGCAAAGCAAGCCTCTCACACTAGTGTCCGACATGGCTCCGTCCTGTTCACCCCGCGCGTCTACATCTCGTTCCATTCGGTCGGCCTCTACACTGGCAAGACCAACGTCCGACGTGCACGAGTCTCCGGCACGGCAGGCCGCCTTTCCGAGCGCCTGCGCTGCCTCCTCTGCCCCTCCTGCGGCGACGGCGGGCGGCCACGCTGCCGCTTCCTCAGGCAGAGCCTTGGCGACCTCATGCTCCTCCCAGCGGTGTTCTTCCCGACCTCGGCGGCGGCTTTCCACGATGAGGCGCTCATGATCCGACGTTTTCAACCATTGGGTCACCAGGCGGACATCTCCCAGGGCGCCAAGTGCGGCGACCCATAGCACTGGCAAGCGTCCATGACATCATGGCGGTGGGTACTCACGTACACTATAGGCAAGACCCTTCGGGGAGGCGCTCTGCTGGCTGGCCATCGGTCTCGTCGCGCCCCTCGTCGGCGCCCTCCATGCTGGAGGCGCATGCGGGTCTCTCACATCCCCGCGTCTCCCCGGCTCCATTCTTCCCAGCCAGGCGACGCTCCATCATGCCGATCTTCGAGTAGGACGTCTGCTGTGGCTGATATCCTACCTGGTGTTTTTTTGTCAGACGGCGCTCCTTTCTCTGTTCTCTATCGGGCTCAACTGCGACAGCACTATGCAGATGCAGGTCAACTTGGCCCTCTATGGATTTGGGAACGCTGTCGCATCGGTATTTTTCTGGCGTGGCTTGCTCGACCACATCCTCCCCTTCGTATCCCGCGTTGGCCGGTTCAACAGTTGGCTCCATTGTTGGCATGGGCAGCTACTCTCGCCCCTGATCTTTTACAGTCTCATAACCGAGTGGTTCACGCTTTCAAGATATTGGACGTTCTTCTTCAACGGCTACGCTTACCTCGTATTCGTATTCCTCCTCTGGTTCTTCCATATGAACTTCGCAGAGGTCATCATCTTCGCTGGTTTCGTCACGAGATCTCTCGGTTGGTCCGCTCCATCAAGCTTGAGGATTCCAGGAGATGGATTCACCCTCGTGTTCGGTATACTGTTGGACGCCAACCGACATGGAAGGATAAAGTGATCGCCCCGACCTTTTGCCACAAGTACAAGGTCAAGACGATGCCAGCCCCTTCCCACTGTGCTTGTCCTCCTCCACCTGATGGTCTTCCTTGGCTTCCTGGTCTTTGGCGCCATCCGCGCTGGCCGCATTTTCAACCTCTTCTCCGCGAGTGTACGTCACTAGTCAATACCTGGGGCCAGCGTCTTGGCATTCATCCTGTTCAGCTACGCCGTGCTCTACAACGTATACGGTCAGGTCCTCAAGTGCCGTCGTCTTCCTGTTCGAGACTGCGCTCTTCGTCACCACCTACTCCGAGCCGCTGCAGTTCCACTTCAAGCTCTTCCTCTGGTGAGGCACCCTGCCACGCCCCCGCGCCGCCGCGGGCTTGGGCCGAGATCGAGCAGGCCCTCTCGCTAGCCACTGCCTGCGCCAAGGATCGGGTCATCATTGGGGACGACAAAAAAGCTGATCGGGTCTGGCTTGCGAACGGGCCCGACCTCGCACGCTACCTTCTCCAGTCGGTCTCAGAGGACCCCGCTTGGAAGCATCGGCCCGGCCTGAATGAGGAAGATGCGTGCACCTGGTCGTGGGCCCGAGCTTTCTCAGCACTCCCTGTCTGGCTTCGCGGTCCCTCGCAGTTACCCCATGCCCGCACTTCCTCTCGCCCACCAGTTGTCTTCCCGCTCGTGAAGTCGAAGTGTTTCTCGGAGGATGGAAGCAGGATCTGTAACAAGGTTGCCCATAGCTGCTGTAGGAGAGTCAGAGACACGGCAGGCGCACCATATACTCTTGGGTTTCGCATCCTTGGTCGTGCAGCTCGGAATTTCCTTAGCTGGTCAGATGCAGGTCACGAATGCTTTGACATACGGCACGCTGCAGAGGATATTATTGCCCTTCGTCTTCGCTTGCTTGCTGCTCCCCGCCCATCCTGTCAACGCTGCGGGTGCCCGATGTCAGACATCAGCGTGGTCACGTGTGACGCGGAACAGGCATATGAGCAGTGCAGCTCGCAAGCAACATCGTCGGCTGGGTCTATCTTGAAACACCAAATCGCCGAGAATGTCCCCACGGAGGCTTGTCTCGTACGGAAAGGTCACAGGTCTTTCGCCCACCCCTCAAGCAAGTCAGTTCGGATGTCTACTACTGCTGTTCCTCCTAGCTATTACCGTGTCACCGTCTCCGACATCTCTCGGGCCCTACTGGTGGACTGCTGGATTTCGCTTGTCAATGTTTTTTGGGATCATCTTCGAGCTAAAGGGCCTTCCAATCGGTGGTGTACTCTCTGGCGTGGCTCTCAGTGTGCTATCGTGTTCGCAAGAGCTTCTGGCTAAAAGTGATTATCATCGGTATGTTCAGGCTGGATTCCCTTGTCGGTCTGATTATGGTCCTTATGATGTCGTTATGCGTCGGTATGTCGATGATATCTTAGATGAGCACATCGTTCTGTCGTTCATGTACGGCGCTCTTTCTACATTCTACCTACTCCGTAAAGCTCTCCACGGCTTCATCACTCTCGTTCTCTTCAGCTACCTGGTTGGATTTGCCAGTGGTTGCAGTTGGTTCTGTCGTTATCGTGATTCCGAAGAATGACAATCGGGCTTGGCTCTACGATGCGTCCGCTCCCCGTCAACGTGCTACTGTTCTACCTTATGCCGGTGCTCTTCCTCGTGGTTTCGCTGGCCTCTACAGCCTCTTCGCGAATCGCCTCTCCCGTGCCCGCTCTATGAAGCTCTCCGTGTTCCTGGCTTCCTACTGGCTCCTCGAATTGATCCTCGAGATGTTCCTGCTTGGCTACCCATTGCCATTGCTTCGTGTCCTCATCCACCGCTGCCCTTGGAGCCTCGAGGTTCGCGAGGCCCGACGGAGCTTCCGCGCCTGGGTCCGTCTCCTCTCGCCAGCGGCGCCTCCAGCCATGGGCCCACCTCGTGGAGGCGGCGGCAAGGGCTTCGGCGACCACAGAGGCTTCGGAGGAGATCGTGGTGACCGTCGTGATCTGCCTCGTGGTTGGGACGACCGCCGTCCTGCTGGCCGTGACGGTCGAGATGATCGTGACGATCGCCGTGACCGCCACAGGGATCGCCGCCTTCGTCCTGGTCCTTCGACGGAGCCGAGCGAGGAGGAGGCCAAGTCCCGTGCCATCGCGCGCAGCAGGCGCTTCCTGGCGAAGGAGGACCCCGAGTTCGCCAACTACCTCGTGGAGCGGCGCCAGGCCCAGGGTCGGGTCCTTGCGGAGGCCATGAAGTCCACCTTCGACGAGCACATGGCCAAGGTGTGCGGCCACGGGTTCCCGCCGACCGCGATCCCGACGCCTCCCTCGGCGGGCTCGCCAGCGGCAAGCAGTCCTGGTCCAGCTCCGTTCCCGCCTCCTGTTCCAGGTGGGCCAGCTGCTGGGGCCCCTGCGGACGGCCTCTCACCGGTGGGCAAGGCTTGGCTCCAGAGCATCGTGGGCAGCGAGAAGGTCCCAGCCACCTACACGCGCGAGACGCTCACGACCTTCCTCGTGGACTGCATCTCGAAGGACAGCGACACCAAGGAGAGGGTCAAGAACTTGCTGGTCGCCATCGACGCGGGCCAGACCCTCCCGAAGACCCACAAGCTGTGGGCGGCCCGCACGGTGGAGCTCCTGTACGGCCCGATGTGACGACAGACGGCACCTCCGATCTCAATGGCTGGGTATCTGTGGTCCTTCATCTGCTCCCTCGCCTCTCTTTTCAAGTGGATGGTGCTTGGCATGCCCCACGCGCCCGTCTATCAGTGCTCTATTTCTTGAGCTCCCCACACAGTTCCTTTCTGGTACGACATTGGGGTTGTCTTCTCAAGGTTCATGCTCCTGGTCTGTATCATGATACTCAGTTTCGCGGTGTACGAGTCTTTCCTACCTCCGACAGTGGTGTACCTGAATGATGATTGGGATGATCCTTACACCACCAGCACTCTATCCTCGACGAGCGCATCGTCATCTGTGTTCTCTCTCCCGAGCTCATGGTTGGCCTCCGACACCTTCAGCGGCTTCCTGGAAGTCATCGACGCCTGGTGGACCATCAATATCAAGCGCCGCTCCGAGGCCAAGGCTACTCAGCTCATGTTCGATCTGTTGGGCATGGATACGTCCATCCATGACAGCAGGAATGATGAGGCCATCTCGAGCTGGGTGCGACGGTCCGCGGTGTGGACTGCCGAGCGTCTCTTTCGATGAGCACGGCGAGGTGCGAGCTGGATGGAGGCTTCCCCACGGTGAGGGATGCAAGGTTGCCAGCCTTCCACCCTGAGATTGGGGTCCTCCTCCTCCTCCTCCTCCTCCCCCTCCCCCTCGAAGGACTCAGCATCTCTTCCAACCTCCCCCCTCTCCGCTGTCGTGCGCGCCTGCTGCCGAGTAGGCTCGAGCGCGTGGCTGCCCACCAGCGCTCACAGCAGCCACGCGGGCCGCGAGTCGAGCCCCCTTCGGTGAAAAACGAACGCTGTTCCGCCCCCTTTCACCGCTCCATAGACCCTCCTCCTCCTCCTCCTCCTCCTCCTCCTCCTCCTCCTCCTCCTCCTCCTCCTCCTTTCCCTCCCCCATCGCCCGCTCCCTTTCCCCCAAGAAGGCTGACACGCACCGGAGATGCCCCCAACAGGCAGCGTGACAATTGTGAAGCGCTGCTGGCCTGCCACGCTTCAGAGCTGCCGCACGGCATTCCGAAGCGCGATGCGGAGATGCGCGGCAGGAGGACTGCATGTGAAAATCTGAAGGCAAGGCAAAATTCACCTGCACACAGATGCACCAAGGAAGCTGGGCTTGCAAGTCCTTGGAGTCAGCCGTGCTGCCGAACGCTCACTCTGTCATGGCAGGAAGGACATCGAGGCGCACGCAAGCAGCGCAAGGGAAGTACGGCAACTGGCACGTATGGACATGGTGCTGGACTTCGCCGCTCCTGTTGTAGTAGTCGTGGTCGTGGTCGTGGGGCACGCTTTCACTTTGCTGCACTTCGCTCTCTCGAACATGGGTCCTTCACAGCTCTTGCCGCCGTTCTGCGGATCGACCTTGTAACTGCGCGATCGGACCTGACTGCCCGGATTCGCCTTGGTGCCGCAGGTCTGAGTGCAATCGGAACTCGCCGGCCCATCGGGCCAAAGGCGCGCCTAAATCTCCAGCAAGAGGTCGTGAGTCTTTGGGGTATGAAAATTAAAACTGCTGATTCGCGCGCGGGGCGGCCCCTGGGGGTCCCCAGAGGAGAAATACCCTGGCAAGGTCCCAGCAAGGTCCTAGCAGAGTGAGAATCAGAATCCGAAGGCGGGGTGAAACTCCTCTGAGATTGTTGTTGGAAGAGAAGGAGGAGAAGGAGGAGGAGGAGGAGGAGGGGGGCAGAGGAGGGGAGGAGGAGGTGGAGGAGGAGGAGGAGAAAGAAAAGAAGGAGGCGGAGAAGGAGGAGGAGGAGGCGGAGGAGGACGAGGAGGAAGGGGGAGGAGAAGGAGGAGGACCAGTGGAAACCCAAGAGTCACAACGATGTTGGAATAAACTCTTCCTCCAAGCTCCCTCTTCATAGGCCCCTACAACGGTTCATTTCCACTGAAGGAACTGTCCCGTTGGAAGACAAGCGTTTGAAGACCCTGAAGCATGCCACAACAATTTTCTCGGGATTCCAACGCCACGGATCAACCTGACTGTTGCGTCTTGGCGATCTTGATTTGCGCCAGAGCACCATGGCTGAGACTTCAACACAGCGAACCAACGCAACTGTTGCACCCTCATAACCCTGAATCCTCCCCAAAAAACAACAATCAATGGTACGCTGATCATGGGAATCCGTGTAACTCGTGCAATTGATTGAAACGAATGCGCGCGGCGCCCAAACCAGAGCCACATATTGAAAAGAACCGCCCTCATACCGCGAAGCTCTTGCAATTTGTTTTATCGAATGTGCGCGGCGCTAAAACGAGAACCACATGTTGAAAACGACCCGCCTTCAATCCGTAAAATTATTGCATTGTTTTTTGTGAACGAGCGTGCGCGGCGCCAAGGCGAGAATCACATCTTGAAAACCACCCGCCCTCAATCCGTGAAACTCTGGCACATGTTAAAAAAGAATGTGCGCGGCGCTAGGGCGAGAACCACATGTTGAAAATCATCCGCCCTCAATCCGTGAAACTGTTGTCATGTTTAAGGCTTCGGGGTCATACATGGTGAGGGAATCTCATGCGAAACGCCCGGCCGCCCTAAAAACTGGCCTCGGGGTGCGACAGGGAGGAGTTATTTATAAGGAGAAGGAATGGAGGAGGAGGGGGAGGAGGAGGAGGAGGAGGAGGAGGAGGAGGAGGAGAAGGAGGAGGGAGGAGGAGGAAACAAAGGAGGAGGAGGACGAAGGCGGCGGAGGAGGCGGAGGAGGAGGAGGAGGAGAAGGAGGAGAGGGAGGAGGAGAAGGAGGAGAGGGAGGAGAAGGAGGAGGAGGAGGAGGAGGAGGAGGAGGAGAAGGAGAAGAGGGAGAGGAGAAGGAGGAGGAGGAGGGGGAGGAAGACAAGCTAGGTGCGCTCGCGTCATATCTGACGTCCTACCCCTCCCTCCCATCCCTTACCATGGCGCTGATTTTCTCTATCCGCGGACGCGTGTCGTAGCGGACCTGTGGCTCCGCGCGCGCGTGCGTAGTGGGTGGTGGTGCGCGTGCGTGTGTGCGTGCGTGCGTGCGTGTGTGCGTGGTTGGTGGTGGTGGTGGTGGTGGTGGTGGTGGTGGTGGTGGGGTGCTGAGTGTGGTGTGGCTGGGGCGGTGCTGTGCTGCCTGTGCTGGTGCCTGGTGCTGGTGTGGTGCTGGTGCTGGTGCTGGGTGCTGGTGCTGGTGCTGGTGCTGGTTGCTGGTGCTGGTGCTGGTGCTGGTGGCTGGTGGTGGTGGTGGTGGTGGTGGTGGTGGTGTTGGTGTTGAGTGTTGGTGTTGGTGTTGTGTGTGTGTGCGTGTGTTGTGTGTGTGTGTGCGTTGTGTGCGGGGTGTGGCATGCAATGGAAAGGGGACGCCAGCGCTGCAGCGGGAGCACGAGTCGAAACGAGCGGAAGCGCGGAAATGAGGCCAGCGCTGCAGCGGGAGCACGATTCGGAACGAGCGGGAGCGCGGAAATGAGGCCAGCGCTGCAGCGGGAACACGATTCGGAAGGAGCGGGAGCCCGAAAATTAGGCCAGCGCCTCAGCGAGAGCAGCATTTGAGAAAAAAACACAAGCGAAAACCCAACTCCGGGGAATCCTGTGTGTAAAAAACAGTACGCGGGGGGGTGCCGAATATCTTCCGGACGCCATCAGGGGAAGTGGGAGAGTAGTATTCATATTGTGTAATTGTGGAGGAGGAGGAGGAGGAGGAGGAGGAGGAGGAGATATTGTTGTACTCCTGTGCACGGCCCTGGGGACCCCCGATGCAGCCCGAGGATCGCGCCAAGGGAGCCTCCAAGAGCTCCGAGAGGGCCCCAGGAGCGCCCCAAGACGGCCAACAGATGGCCTCAGGGCGACCTCATATCGGGGATGGACAGACCCCCCTTTAGTAAAACGTGGTTTAGTGTAAACGACCTGAGGCCCAAACCTGGCGGGCGCAAGCCTGGAAAATAACGGCCACGGCGTCCCCTCGAGAACCGAAGACGGACAATTCACTAATCGACGTGTCACTGTTGGGGGTTCTGTCCACCCCCGATCATGGGCCCCCAAGACGGCGCCAAGGGGGCATCCACGAGAGCACCGAAGATGGCCTCGAGGCTCAGAAACACTGCCTCCACTCAGGTATTTGTCAGATTTCAGCGGTCTCGCTTTCCTGGGCTTCCGGCAGCCCCAGATATCGCTACAGGATAGCCCCCATAGGCCCGCAAGGCAGCCGCACGAGGACCCCAAGGCGGTCCAAGAAGCTCTCAAGTCGGCCCACGAGGGCCCCAACAGGGCCTGCACGACCGCCAACAGGCCCCTAAGAGCCCCCGAGAAGCCCACAAGATAACCCTAGAGGCATCCAGCATGCCTCTGACCCACGACCCAGGCACGGCGGCGGGATGCACTCACCAAACTTCGGTGGGGTTGTGCTCCATTGAATGTCCCTTGCAAGAACCCTGCCACTGTTTTTCCCCCAGACGAGGTTCACGCCACAGCTCATGCAAACGACCGCCCAAACCTCCTACGCCCCCGCGGGCACACAGGTAAGTCAGTTGCCAGCGATGATACAGGGCCAGCGGGATGAGCGAAGCAATCGAATAAGCTGCCCAATCAGCCCATACGCAGTCGATCGGTTTGGGGGTGTCTCCCTTGTCTCCCCTATCCCCTTCCGAGCAATGCCAGACAGGGGATCACCACTAAGCGAGGCCAACACCTCCTCTAGGACATCCCCTGGATCCCCCAACCCATAGGATTCCCAACGACGCCCCAGCTTGAACAGGGACCGACCGTCCCAGCATTCCTATAGGCCTACCACAAAATGTTCTTAGAACCCCAAAATGTTCTAAGAACAGAAACCATGTTCTTGGAGCATAGAACCGATGTGCTGATACAAGACTGTCCCAGCCAAAAAACGTCCTAAGAACATGTCGTGCAACCCACAGGAGGCTCCTAGAACATTCCCTGGTGGGCCTATAGGCCAGCCGGGACGCCTCGCCACTGCTTGACCAGCACGTCCCAAACCTCCTCGCTCCTCGACCCCCCTCCCCACTCCCCCTCGAATCCCGAAGTCCAGGAGGAGCGGTGCGACCTCCCCGGCGGTGACCCCCCCGCTGGCACTGCCCGACCTGTGGGGCCCGTGGCACCCTTGGCTCCGGGAGCTCCTCTGGGCCCGGTGCTGCCGCGGGCACCGACCCCCCCCCTCGTGGGGGAACGAAGCCGTGCCGACGCCGCCGCTCCCTGGGCCTCCCCGGGGTGGTGCCCTCTGACGGACGAAGCTCGCGGGGAGCCTCACGAGCGGCGAACGCAGTCCGTATCCATGGCCGCGCGGTCTGGAGTCCGGAGCGCGGTCCCGCGGAGACGCGGTCACACGGATCCGTTCCGCGCGGGGCATCTGCGGACAAGAAAAGCCCCGCGTCCGCGGGGTGGCGGCCCAAAGGGCCCTGCCCCCGAGGCGGCGGATACGGATATGTCTTTCGCCTGCTTGGCTTTCGGGTCATAACTCGGCTTTCTGGCGGCCGTGCGTGAAGATACGGGCGCCCCCGGACGCCTCTCGGCGAAGCGCAGCTGCTGGAACGCATCCCGAAGCCGGAGAGCCGCCGAGGACCCACGAGAATGCCCGACAACCTCGAACCTCGAAGCCGAAACTTCCGGAACCTAACGAGGCCGCGGATACGAACACGTCTCGCCCCACGGAATGGAGGAGGAGGAGGAGGAGGAGGAGGAGGAGCAGGAGGAGGAGGAGGAGGAGGAGGAGGCTTTTTTTCGGCCGAGACCAAGACACACCCCGGCCGTGGCGACGAGGGCCCACCAGACCGAGCAGCGGCGCCCGTACCCCTCCCTCCCCTGGCCTTGCGCCGTGGCCCGGAGCGCCGCGGGCCCCCGGGGCGCCGCGCGCTCCCGGGGGGCCGCGCGGCCCCGTGCCGCCTCGGTGCCCCGTGCCGCCGCGCGGTCCCGGGGCGCCGCGCGGTCCTGGCGGGGCCGGTGAGCACCCGAGGGGCGAAGGGATCCGGCGGGGCCCCCTATAGGAGGCCCCTATAGGAGGCCCCTATAGGAGGCCCCTGTAGGAGGCCCCTATAGGAGGCCCCTGTAGGAGGCCCCCAGGGAGGCCCCTATAGGAGGCCCCCAGGAGGACCCCTAGGAGGCCCCTATAGGAGGCCCCTACAGGAGGCCCCTATAGGAGGCCCCTGTAGGAGGCCCCAGGGAGGCCCCCAGGGAGGCCCCAGGGAGGCCCCTATAGGAGGCCCCTACAGGAGGACCCCTACAGGAGGCCCCTATAGGGGGCCCCTACAGGAGGCCCCTATAGGAGGCCCCAGGAGGCCTCCCAGATGGGGTCCGAGCAGGTGGGGGTCGGAGGATCGCGCCGCATCGCCGATGCATTGGCGATGCGGCTCGATGTGGAGCCCAACTGTATCCACGCCGGCGTCGCCGACGCATCGCAAACGTCATCGATGCATCGGCGATGCGGTGCTATCCTCCGACCACATTACTCGGACCCCATCTGGGAGGCCTAGACGAACATATCCGCGCCCTCGCGGTCTGGACTCCCGGGCGCGATTTCGCGGATACGTGGTCGCACGTGCACGTTCCGCGCGGGGCACCCGCCGAAGGTCGCGGACCAGGGGCCCGGCTTGCGAGGCCGCGGACACGGACATGTTGTCCGCCCACCGCTGTACGGTAAATCGGATCGAAGCGGAGCGTGCGTCGTATCGGGAGCGCATCGGCACGGAGTCCGAATCGGATCGGGTCGGCCACGCCGGGATGCACGACAGCGCCGTGCACGCATCGGGCCGCATCGGAACAGTCGAAACATAGGCATCGAGCCACATCGGGCTGGGCGAAATCGAGGCCGAACCTGACCGATCGACTCGAAGTGGGCCCTGTCCTGGTGCTCCTCTGGGAGCCCGCCTCCTTCTCCTCCTTCTCGACCACCACCCACTTCTGCTAGACTGGGCATCCAGCAGGCTCGAATTGGGGAGTGATGTGGGGTCATACTCGTCATTGAGATCCGACTCTTCAAACAGTGAAACGTTGTGGTCCAGCTCATCACCCTGATCGTCATCATCGGCCACTCCCGAGTGGTAAGAAATGCGCCCCTCGGCGGTCACCTGAGCATACATCTGATCGCCTTTTTCAGCATCTGCATGGTCATCACTGCTCGCATGCTGCTTTCGGATCATTATTTTGTTTCGAGTGTTGAGGCCAGCATCGATCGCGTCGCTCTGCTGGTCCGTTGCTGCACCACTGGCGGGGACCACAGCGCAAAGAGCCACACACAGCACGAGGAGTAGACCAAATGGATTCATGGACGTTTCTCGTGGAACAGACCGATGATGGTCGATGCCGCTTCGCCGTAGCCCGAACGCCGCTTGAGCTACGCGTCGGCTCGAGCCAGACTTCTCGGTACGGACAAGACTGGCAACTGCCTAAGAGCGTGTTCGTGCTCATCACTTCGCCACTCGGACTCGACGAAGGTTCCAGAAGACGGCTCCAGCTAGCCTCAAGAAGACTCAGAAGTTCCCAGGGTGGCGCCAGGAGGGACGCGAGAGAGTCCAAGGGGGCCCAAGGTTTCCCCAGGACAGCCCGCGGTGATATAGAAGTCAGTGCGAAGACGCCCCGACAGAGCCCAGATGCGGTCCAAGCGTCAACGAAGCTGCTCCGCCGGCATTGCATGCACCCTCGAGGGACTCGGTCGAGGGGGACCCACGAACGCGGCCCACGACGGCCGTGTCCGGCCGTGCTGCCACGACGCGCAGGAATTGGGACGACCAGCGGCAATGGAGAAAGGCACTCGTGACGGTGCAGATGATGACGCGACGGGGCGCCTGGCACACCATGGCTGGCGAATTCGGCGTGCGGCCTAGAAGGAGGCCTCTACAGGCGGTGCGCGGGAAAAGGAGGCAACGCCGCAGCAGACACAGAGACAGAAACATCAGCACTGGTGGGCCTGTTTACCACCACCACCACCACCATAAGTTGGAGGGGGCTAGGAGCAGGAGGAGGAGGAGTAGGAGGAGGAGGAGGAGGAATAGGAGGACGAGGAGGAGTAGGAGGACGAAGAGGAGAAGGAGGAGGAGGAGGAGGAGGAGGACCCCTCCCCCTCCAACTTATGGTGGTGGTAGTGGAAAACGGGCCCATCAATCATTCTTCAAAATAGACGTTAGGAGAACCGCGCGCATGTCTTGGATCGGCGCTGGACCCCCTCCATCGCGCGCGTACCGCGCCAGGGGCGGCGGCAGAGGCGCACCTGGAGAGGCCCAACGCTAGTCCAAGAAATCCGCGCGGACCTCCGCAAGTTCATGCCTACGGTCGGGAACTTGTCCTCAGCGTTAAGTCGGGCGTGCCCCCCACAGGGTAATTTCGGACGAAAAATAAAGAGATACTCAGAAAAATGCTCAAACATAGCCCAAAAATGATCAAACAATCGTCCCCTGACTATTATTCGACAATGTTTAACAATTCCTCCTGTAGAGGGACAGGCCCGACTTAAGCTTAGCGTGTCGGCGGTGGCACCAGCGACACGCTATGCCTTGCAAGCGGTCAGTGTTGCTCCGCTCCGCGGGGCGGGAGGCCCGGAAAGGCTCGGGACCATTGCGCCTGGAAGCGGAGACATAGGCAACGTGTCGCACCGAAGCGAGGTGGGCCAGCACTGGTGGCTCGACACGCTAAGCGAAAGATCCCGATCAGTCGGCATCGGGCTGGGCAATCGGATCTAATCGAAATGTGCGTCGAAACATGGCCACAGCTGCACAGAGTCGTCCGTACCTGATCGGATCGATCGGATCGAAATGGACCCAGCCGAAGACGCCACGGACGGGCCTCCCAAGCCGAGTGAGGCCGCAGCGACGAGGGAGCCTGGTGGTCAACCGCATTCGTTCTTCTCCCTTTGAAGGGGGAGAGGAGCGAGAAGGGGAAGGACAACGGAGGGAGGCAGCCCCGACGCCAGACCTCTGGCGTCTTGGACAAAGCACGATGCCAACTCGACTCCAGGAGACCGGGCCCGCGGAAGCCCCCACTGCGGACCCCCAGTGCCTTGCCGTCGACGTGAACGGCCCGCCACCAATAAACTGTCCCAGGGATGAGGGTCGGGTGCTCCTCGGCCCCCCTTCACATAAAACGCGAACATACTTTGGAAGTCTGGGTGCTCCTCCTCCTCCTCCTCCTCCTCCTCCTCCTCCTCCTCCCCTCCTCCTCCTCCTCCTCCTCCTCCTCCCTCCTCGCTCATTATCCCCCCCTCCTCCTCCTTCTCCTTCGTCTCCTCCTCCTCCTCCTCCTCCTCCCCATCCGCCTCCACCTCCATTCCTTCTCCTTATAAACAACTCCTCCCTGTCGCTGCCCGAGGCCAGTTTTGAGGGCGGGCCGGGCGTTTCGCCTGAGACTTCCTCACCATTTGTGACCCTGAAGCTTAAAAGTTGGCAACAGTTTCACGGATTGAGGGCGGGTCGTTTTCAAAATGTGGCTCTCGCCTTAGCGCCACCTACAATCGTTTGAAACATTTGCAAGGGTTTCACGGACTGAGGGCGGGTCGTTTTCAAAATGTGGCTCTCGCCTTAGCGCCGCGCTCATTCGTTTTTAAATATTTGCAACAAAAAAGTTTCACGGATTGAGGGCGGTTCCTTTTCAAAATGTGGTTCTCGCCTTAGCGGCGCGCACACTCGCTTTCAACACTTGCAAGAATTTTGCGAATTGAGGGCGGGCTGTTTTCAACATGTGGTTCTCGCCTCAGCGCCGCGCACACTCGCTTTAAACGGTTGCAAGAGTTTTACGAATTGAGGGCGGGTCGTTTTCAACATGTGTCTCTCGCCTTAGCACCGCGCGCATTCATTTTAACAATTTGCAAAAGTTTCACGGGTTGAGGGCGGCTCCTTTTCCAAATGTGGCTCTCGCCTTAGCGCCGCGCACATTCTTGATACACCATTGTAAGAGTTTCACGGATTCCCATGATCGACGTTCCAGGAATGGCGTGTTGGAAATATTCACGATTTTGAGGGCGCATCAGTTACGATGATTCGCGGAGCTGAGGTCCCATGAATGGCGTTGTGGCACGATTCAGGATCGTCAAGACGCAACAGTCAGGTTATCCGTGGCGATGGAATGCCGATAATCATGTTTGGGCATGCTTCAGGGTCTTCAAACGGTTGTCTTCCAACGAGGCAGGTCCCTCTGTGGAAGTGAACCGTTGTAGGGGCATATGAAGAGGGAGCTTTGGGGGAGGGATTACTCTCTTGCAAAGCTGTGCTCTAGAGCCCGGACTTCTTTATTTTCGTCGTGGTTCGTGGTTCGCTCGTTCGTGGTTCGTCCCTGGCGCTGGCTCCCGCTCCCTCCCCTCTGGCTCTGGGTCGAGGCCCCAGCATCTCCTTCCCCCTCACCCTTGGCTCGAGCCCTGGGTCGAGGCCCCAGTTCTAGAGCTCGGACCTCTTCATGTTCGTCGTGGTTCGTGGTTCGCTCGTTCGTGCATCGCCCCTGGCACTGGCTCCCGCTCCCTCCCCTCTGGCTCTGGGTCGAGGCCCTGGAATCTCCTTCCCCCTTCCCCTTGGCTCGAGCCCTAGCCTGGGTCAAGGCCCCAGCCGCAGAAGCCCAGAGCTTGCACAGCTGTGTTCTAGAGCTCGGACCTCTATATTATCTTGCACAGCTATGTTCTACAGCTCGGACCTCTTTATTTTCGTCGTGGTTCGTGCGTTCGTGGTTCGTCCCTGGCCCTGGCCCCCGCTCCCCGCCTGGCTCGAGCCTTGGGTCGAGGCCCCAGCTCCCCTGGCCCAGGAGCATCCGCCCCCCTGGCCCGGAGCTCTTTATTTTCGTCGTGGTTCGTTCGTTCGTGGTTGGTTCCTGGCCCTGGCCCCCGCTCCCCCCCTGGCTCAAGCCCTGGGTCGAGGCCCCAGCCCCCCTGGCCCCGAGCATCCGCCCCCCTGGCCATGGAGCCTTTTATTCTCTGGCACAGCTGTGCTCTAGAGCTCGGACATCTTTATTTTCGTCGTGTCGTGTC